GCAAGCGGCTGGCATTTCTCCTCTTTTTGAAATAGAAAAGAGTCAGAGAGGATCAAAAATACTTTAAAATGTTGGACTGACAAACTTGCCTGTGTAGAGCTTTAATTTTCCAAGATACGTGGTGATTAATACATACAGAGGATAGCTCCCATTGGCCTCAGTTGCTGCCGATGGTGTTTCCCTGTGTGAAGAAACTGGACATCCAACAAATGCAAGATAGACTTACTGGGGAAAAAAAAAAAAAGAAAGGTTGAAATGACCTGTCCTGGCACTGATGGCGATGGGATTCTGTTCTCCAAGGCAGTATTCGCTGCTGTGAGATTCTCCTTTTTGTCCCCCCATTCTCATTCACTTCACATCCTCCAAATGCTGTGCCGAATGAGCAGGGGTCTTGTGTTGTTGCTGCTCGGATCCATCCCTGGACAGATGCGGAGGATGCGCTGAGTAAGGAAGGGAGCCTTTGGTAAGAGGCGGGCTGGAAGACTGTACTACAGTATATACATAAATGGCAGCTGAATTAATCCTGCATTAATTATGGCATTTCTTGTATATACACTTAACTTTGAAACCTTGGGTTTTCTGTAAAAAGGACCTGGTTTTATTCCAGTGCCTGCTTTTTTTCCAAAGCAAACTTCAAAAATAATTCGCAACATTGAACCACCCACGTGGGTGATAAATGCACATCTCTGCCAGTTTAGTAATTAAAGTAACAAAATAATGGTAAACGGTCATTTTCTGAGAGCTTGCTTTTGATGGGAAGGAGTTTGTCAGCAAGCCCGTGATATCTGCTGATGGCAAAGGGATGACAGAATTGGGAATTTGGGGTTCAATTCCAGCTCTGATGGGGTGAATGCTATAATTGTTTTCCACCCATTCCCCAGCAAAAGCATGTCTATTTTTTTTACCCCTTCTGCCCTAGCCCCTGCAGCTTGGCTCTTCTCAGCCCCTTGCCCAAGCACATTCCCTCCACCATTTAGACCCTCATTGCACCCATTTTTAATTCCCACTGCTGCTTCCTAATCCCAGTCCCCTCCTCTCGGCTCAGCACTCCACTCCCAGCCTGCCTCTTCCCTGCCCTCCCGATTTCCAGAGGTTTTTCCCTCCCTTACGGTCCCCAATCTCCCTGCGTGTTCACTAAGTCCGCTCCTGGGTCTGGCTCTCATCAGCCAAAACTGGGTGTCCTTTCCATCCAGCTGCCAGGAGGGATGCTAAAAACCCAGCAGCGAGTCGTGGTGCGGAGCAATCTCCAGCAAGCCCTGCTGCTGGTTCTTGACTTTGTGGGAGGTGGCACACAGAATCACAGAATAGTTTGGGTTGGAAGGGACCTCTAAAGGTCATCTAGTCCAACCCCCCTGCCGTGGGCAGGGACATCTTCAACTAGATCAGGTTGCTCAGAGCCCCGGCCAACCTGACCTGGAATGTTTCCAGGGATGGGGCATCCACCACCTCTCTGGGCAACCTGGGCCAGTGCTTCACCACCCTCAGTGTAAAAAATTTCTTCCTTATATCTAGCCTGAATCTAACCCTCTTGTAGTTTAAAACCATGGCAGAGCTCTGCGTGGAAGATGGGTTTCACCCCATGTGGCATGGCGCAGGCATCCCAAAGGAGCTGCAGGAGGATGAAATGTTCTCAGTGAGGCTGTAATCTGGGATTTTAGTAACTAACAAAAGTCTTAAGTGTGAACAAACTGATAATTTTTATCTTTTCCCCCTCAAGCTTATAGCTTGGACAAATTCAGGCAGATTTTTATATCGTGACAACATGCTATCCAAGACATAGCACTTTCTCTCATATGAAGTCTCTCTTCAAAGATTTTGAAGAGAAACTTTTTTTATTTTTAAAAGAAAAGGTAATAATCTACATACATGAAAGCTTTTTCTTAGCCTCATCTTTGGAATTGTTTTGGCTGAAATTTTCCCAGGGGGCGGGGGGGGGGAGAGGGAATCAGTCCAAAGCAGACAATTCAGAAGGAAAGTTTTGCCTTTGCTGGTTGAAATGTGTCAAAGTTTTAAATAGCCCAACACAGGCTCTCATAGTGGGAAGTGTTGGCAGCTGTAAATATATAGTTACGTACAGCAGGTTAATACAGCATCCAGAGAGAGGATGCCAGTACCTTCATTAACATAAATAACTTCAAACACTCTCTATTTTAATACCTACGTGTAGCACTATCACGATAGAGGCCAGGTACGTATCTGAGCACCTTGCCATCCTGGTCAAGTGACCTCATGCTCGGGCCGTTATTTTCCAGACTGGTGGTAGGAGGTAGGCATTGCCACTGGTCATTGTTGTGTATCATGACAGTGCTGAAAGCTCTGCAAGAGGTCCCCTGTCAAAAAGGGAAATATATTTCACCTTTTTCAAAGAAAGAAGAAACTTAGAAACGATGAGTTTGTGTGCTGTCACTGCAGTGGCAGCCAGATCATTCCCACCGTGTAGAAATGCCCCAGTCTGTGGTTGTGTGCAGGTAGTTTGTGACCTTCTTTTTCAGTACGGACGTGCTGCTTGTACTGCTCTTCTGCTATTGGAAGATACAATGGAGTACTTTCAGCGTACAAAAAAAAATGTAAATGAAAAAATTAAAAACTTGCCACTTTATGAGGATGAGATTAAAACCCGCTGTCCTCAGCCTTTTCTCATCTTGACGGCAGTTCACGCCAAGAGGCCAGTGGTGCCTTAGACTGCATCTTCTCACTTTCTTGTTGGTTTTCACTCTGACAATGTGGAAGTTGAAGTCAATTCTCTGTCATTATGCAGCTGCTGTTCTTAATACTTGATACAGTATACTGAATTATATTTAAGTATCTAATGAATTACCTCAAATCTAAAACACGTTAGCACTTGGAAGAATATGAAGTGCCCTTTTATTATTACTTGATGTTGAGAGCTTTGGTATTTTTCACAGAAACATCTGAACTCACTTAGATGACATGACTTAGACAATAATCAATCTTCTGTAGAAAAGACATGAAGTTGTTTCAGAGATTCTGCTACTTTCAAAGCCACCCTTTTGTGAGTTAGTAAGAAAGCTATTAAATTGATTTCATGTAACAAGTTGTACTTCTGCAGTGGACATCACTGGGCCAAACTGGTCAGAGAATTATTACGGCAGGGTGCTTGCCTTGAGTTTTGGGTTTGGAGGATTGGGCTGAGAGGAGAGGAGCAGCTGCCGTTCAGATGCTCATCATCAGTGTAGTTCAACCCAAATCTCAAGGTTCCTGTTGCCAGACAAGGTCTTGTGGTGGTGGTGATCCATAAGTACCGCTATATGAATTGGCAGTAGGGAATATTGCTGGGCACGGTGAGCGTGTTCTTGACTTGAGACCTTGAACATGTTTCTTCCATGGCAGTCCTTCATGGAGTGAAGCAGAATGGTGAGTTAATGTTAGGTTTGCTACTTAACAAGCCAGGCAACGCCTACGACTTGTGAATTCAACACTAATTGTGGAATTTAATTTCTCCACGCGTTTCCCAGCCTCTAGGAGATGTAAGCTGGCAGGGGAATAAGAAGAAATAGGGAGCATTTTTGTGTGTATTTTGCTTAAATTTTGGACAGTTGAAAGAATGGTTCCAAATCAATCTATGCATTTCATTGAGTCATAAAATGCTATTTAATATATGTTGTTTCCTAGCCTGTACTTTATTTGTACAAATCTCTTATAGTTGTTTGCATTGTTTGCAATAACCTTTAAAAATGTTAAGAATGCTTGTAATTGCTTTAGGTTTTTCATTTCAGTTAGGGTGTTCTTTATACCTTCTTTTGGTTTCTCACCTCCCTTTCTGTGCAGTTAGTACAGATTATGTATATCAGTAAAGGTTTTCCAAAGTGAGTAGTGACTAGCTGTTGGATCTGGCCATACTTGGTTTATCTTTATAAAGCATACATGCTTTATCGTCTGTAAATCAAACACACACCTCCTGTGTACAATACATTTTTCTGGATGTTTTTGTTAACACAAACCATTATGTTTTCTTTGTCTTTTCTCTTGAGGACAAATTAGTCCTTTCACTTACAGCAACTTTCAGCGCTCACAGACCTTTCCCTCTAGTCTTTGTCGAGGCTTCATTTCACTGTGGTTCCACCTCTGGCTTGCTAGCTTTCGCAGTTTTCCATTGCTGAGTTTTTCTTTGTCCGGTCTCCCATCTACGTGTTTTGGTTATATTACAGCGCTCTGAATGAGTGGTTTTGAGAGCAGTTGGAGGCACGGCGTGCACCACTTCCTGCCTCTCTGCAGTCCGTGCGGCTGTCGTGCAGCTAGCCTGGTCACCATCTGCAGCGGGCTTGTACGTGGGACGTGCCATCACAGCCGGGCTGCCGTGTGCTTCTGAGAATGCACTTGAGTTTGCAGTTCCTGGTTTGCAAGACGCCTTGCAGATAGGTTGAGACTGTCCCTGAGCTGCTCTGAATAGCAAAAAGTGCGTGGACGTAGCTTGTGCAGATGCTCCATTGATGTATTTTCTTAGTTTCTCTTAATGGGGAGGGAAAGACCAGTTTGAGCCTGGCCTGGTTTCCAGTATGTGTTGCATCATATGCCCGTTGGACTCACAGGTGAAAAAGGCAAGTTGAGACTGAAGAGTGGTTTCTTACAGTCAGCTTACCTTGTATAGGTGTTGTCCTGGAGCCATCTTACAGAAGTCTACCCTGTGAAGTTTTTGAAGTTCTGCATTCAGAATTCATATCTGAAAATCTTGGCTGTAGGACTTTCAGATATATTTGCTAATTTATATTCTAGCAGCGTTGGTGTGATTGACATGTGTAGTGGTTATGTTTATTAGTTTACTACTCTTGTAAGTCTAGTGGTGAGAACATGGAATTATGGATGTTTTCACTGGCATCAATATTCGTAGTAGTTACCAGCAAAGATCTCCAGACAGGAAGCGGTACCACAAACCGTGTGAGAATAGGAAGATGTAGAGGAGAAAAAGATGGCAGTTCCTCCCTATGTTTAAGTACGTTTTGCTTTTTGTGCTCATGATTTAACAGATGTCGTCTTCTTTATGCAGGGCTGTAATTGAAGTACAAGATGGCAAGAACCAGCCACAGCAACTATGTCCTTCAGCAGCTAAACAACCAAAGAGAGTGGGGCTTTCTGTGCGACTGCTGTATCGCTATCGATGATATTTATTTTCAAGCGCATAAAGCAGTTCTTGCTGCGTGCAGCTCCTATTTTAGGATGTTTTTTATGAACCATCAACACACTACAGCCCAGCTGAATCTAAGCAACATGAAGATTAGCGCTGAATGCTTTGATCTTATTTTACAGTTCATGTATTTAGGAAAAATTATGACAGCCCCTGCCAATTTTGAGCAATTTAAAGTGGCCATGAACTATTTACAGCTATATAATGTACCTGAATGTCTGGAAGATATACAGGATACAGACTCATCTAGTTTAAAATGTTCATCTTCTGCTTCTAGCACCCAGAATAGTAAAATGATATTTGGCGTGAGAATGTATGAAGACACGCTTGCTAGAAATGGCAGCGAAGGAAACAGGTGGGGCATGGAGCCGCCAAGTTCAACAGTAAATACATCCCATAACAAAGAGCCTGATGAAGAAGCTTTGCAGCTAAGCAGCTTCCCCGAACAACTGTTTGATGTCTGCAAAAAAAGCACCACGTCCAAATTCTCTCACACAAAAGAGCGCGTGTCCCACTCACGCCGTTTTGGAAGAAGCTTCACCTGCGACAGCTGCGGATTTAGTTTTAGCTGTGAAAAGCTACTGGATGAGCACGTGTTAACGTGCACTAACAGGCATTCTTACCAAAGTGCCAGGTACTACAGTGCGGAAAAAATAGACTTTAACGAAAAGGACTCTACTTCTAAAATAATCTCCACACAAACAGAAAAATACAAGGGGGACTCAAGCCAAGCTGCGGACGATTCTTCGTCTCCCGTGTCAAACATCACAAGCAGAAAAAGCAGCACGGTTGCCTCCGAGACATCAGGTGAAGAAGGAAGTAGAGCCTCTGAGAGGAAGAGGATTATCATCAAGATGGAACCAGAGGACAATCCTGCAGACGAGCTGAAGGATTTTAATATTATTAAGGTGACAGATAAAGACTGCAATGAGTCCTCCGACAATGATGACCTAGATGATGAACAGGAAGAGCCGCTTTACAGATACTATGTTGAGGAAGAGATCAGAGAGAAGAGAAACGCTCGGAAGACTTTAAAACCCCGTTTATCCATGGATGAGGATGAAAGAAAGTGTTTGAAAAGTCCGCGGCACCTTAACAGGAAGACTCCTTCAGTGCAGGAAGATGTGGAGAACGCTCCCTGTGAACTTTGTGGGCTAACAATCACCGAGGAAGATTTGTCCTCTCATTATTTATCCAAACACATAGAAAATATATGTGCTTGTGGCAAGTGTGGTCAAATACTGGTCAAAGGCAAGCAGTTGCAGGACCACGCACAGACCTGTGGAGAACCCCAGGATCTGACCATGAATGGTATCAGGAATTCTGAGGAGAAAATGGACTTAGAAGAAAACCCCGAGGAGCAGTCAGAAATAAGGGACATGATGTTTGCAGAGATGCTAGAGGACTTCAGGGACAGTCATTTCCAAATGAACAGCCTTCAAAAAAAACAGTTATACAAGCATTCTGCCTGTCCTTTCCGATGCCCTAATTGCGGTCAGCGTTTTGAAACTGAAAACCTAGTGGTTGAACATATGTCAAACTGCCTGGAGCAAGATCTGTTCAAGAACTCCATGATGGAAGAGAACGAGAGGGATCACAGACGTAAGCATTTCTGCAATCTTTGTGGGAAAGGATTTTATCAGCGTTGCCACTTGCGGGAACACTATACTGTTCATACCAAGGAAAAACAGTTTGTTTGTCAGACATGTGGGAAGCAGTTCTTAAGAGAGCGCCAGTTGCGGCTCCACAATGATATGCACAAAGGCATGGCCAGGTATGTCTGTTCCATTTGTGATCAAGGAAACTTCCGAAAACATGACCATGTACGGCATATGATATCTCACTTATCAGCTGGAGAGACTATATGCCAGGTCTGCTTTCAGATATTCCCAAATAATGAGCAACTGGAGCAGCACATGGATGTTCATCTGTATACATGTGGAGTATGTGGAGCAAAATTTAATTTGAGGAAAGATATGAGATCTCACTATAATGCCAAGCATTTGAAAAGAACATAAGCGTAAACATACTGTTAAAGCATTAAGTTGTCAGCAGAGAGAACACCAAAGCAAGGCATACAGTATAGTAGACAAAAATTGGAAAAAAAAAAATTGAAAAAAAGTCTCTTTTTTATTATTTTTTTTTTTAAGACCCTTCTAACTATAGGTGTCTATTTAGGCTCATTAAGTATATAGCTTTGGAAAGCATCATGTGTTTAATTATTACATTTTCACTGTTTCCTAATATCAGTTTCTGTTCTTAATTTTATTGTTTTACTAAGTAGATATACAAATCATTATTTTTAAACTGTAGATTAAAAGCACAATGTTACCCCTTCACTGACTGCTATTAAACAGTTCTCGGATCCATGTCCGTAAGATGAGTGCTTTAATATTTCCATGTGTTGTTTCTTCATGTGAAAATTTTAGATCACAGCAATTAACGTGCAAGAGCTTAATTGTTCATAATCCCCACATTAATTTTCAAAATGAAAAAAAAAAACCCCAATGCCAAGAAATAATCCTTTGCTCTCTGACTCTGCTGTAAGGGCAGAGCTGGCTGTCCTGGTCCTCTGCTTCTTGGCTTTGTCGGAACGTGCATCCCAGGGGTGAGAGCACGTAGGCTCAGTTAAACCTTGCAGACTTGGACTGGTGTGCGCAAAGGGAAAGGGAGTTAATGACTGTCGGGATAACCAAGGAGTTCCCAGCAGAGTGGTCATTTTCCAGACTTGAAGTCCTAGCAGAACTGTGCAACTGACGTTGGCCTTTCGTTTTCTGTCTGTACCTACATGGGTACATATAACCTGCTTACGCTAATATACAAGGGAAGAGTGGCAGTGGTGGATTGCTAGGAATGCAGAATGGCCGTGTGCATTGAAGACTGCGTTTCTTCGCCTAGCTGCAAATGGTGCCTTGCTGCTTGTGTTGGAAAGTTAAAAGTGGGATGGGTGTGAAGATAGTCCCGTTGCTTGGGCGGGGAGGGGAAGGGGGAGTGTGGCTCATGTGAACCTTAGTTTTTTTGTTTCTTGTTTTCATGATACTTTCTGAATGTTCTGTTTTTCAACAAGAATATAACAAGAAAAGACTGCAGAGTTTGCTTAATAAATGTAAAGACATTTTATGCCTTTTAAGATTCCTTTCTGATTCTAGTACAGCCCTAATCTGCGTAGCTTGTCTCTTAATTTAATTGAATTTAAAAATCCTACTAAGTACCAGCTGACATCAATTCAGTGAGGCAGTTTGGCCTTTGAGAGAAGGACTGGCTTTGACTCTTGGGCACCAGCTGTCTAAATGTTTGTTAAGTGCATGATTTTTAATGGGGGAGGAAAGGATCCTAATACGTAATGGTGGAGAAAACTGTTGAAAAACAAAGCCTAGCAGTACTTTCTCCCAGCAGATCTCACTTTATCAAAGAGGGTAGTAATGCTATTTCCCACTGAGCCGTGGAGGGAGGAAAGCAATTTAGATCAGTGATTAAAACAGTTGGGCTAGATGATCACTGTAGATCACTTCCAACTGAAATCTTCTATTCTATCACCTCGTGTGCCAGTGGTGGGGTTGAGAATAGGAGCCAGGAGCTGAGGGTCTAGTCCACGGCTTTCACGCGCTTGTCACTGTTGGAGTCGAGTTTTGATCCCTTGTTGTTTCTTGGGGATTACAAGGGGTATCGAGCTTTAATGTTAGACTATTTAGAGAAATTAATACAGTTCAGAATCTCCACCATAACTATTTAAGTTAGTATGAGTTGCCTTGCATTTATTCAGTTTTAAATGTGCATTAGAATTTCTCTTGGTTGGTAGACGTGTGCATTTCTGCAGTGATGGAGAAGGACCCCACCACCAGACCTCAGTCCTGAGCCGGCAGCTGGCTCCCTGGGCACTGACTGCTTCGGGTGCAGTTCGGGCCTTTAGCATTTTGCTGTAATTGCTCAGTCCTATGTTTTCCTGTATGATGCTGAAGCCAGCCAAGTCCTGAATAACACTGGGGCCACAAAGACCAGGGACATGAACGCGCTCCAGCATTTCAGTTTATTCAGAGCTTCCCCCTTCTTAGGATTTATTCCACATTCTCCATCCCAACCCAAACTGAAGCTCAGTGTGTAAGAGTTCAAAGAATAAGCGGGATGTGTATTTTAACACTTTTTAGCACTGGAATCGGTGCTAAGGTGATTATAAGACTCTTCAAAAGACAAAATATTTATTATAATGATCATCTTAGAGATGAAGTAGTTAGTCAAGTGCTGTAGTGGAAGAGTTGGGGGGGTTAATACACTGCACACAGCAATTCTCTGACATGCAGGTTATCCCTTACAGTATCAGCTATGGCTGGACTGGGAAAAGCAGCCAAGGGAAGTGAGGGAGAACTGGAGGGTGCTGGGGGAGCTGGCAGAAAAGTCTCGTGGCGCTGCGGAAGTGGGAAGGCTGAGTGGGAGAGGAGGGATGGATGAAGGCTGGGAGGGCAGGATTAGAGCTGTGCAGTGGGAAGCAAATCCCAAGGGTGGCATGGAGGGGGAGGCTGAAGGAGTGGATGAAACATCCTGTAGATGCCTGTGAGACCGGAGTGAGAATGACTCAGCTTGGCTGGGAGAGCTGTCGGCCCGGGTGATTAGCTCACTACGGCACAAACTCAGAGTTCGGACTGCGTACCAAGTGCAGCCAGCCCCTACGCTGGAAGGACTGCAGTGGCACAGCAAAGCCTAAATTAAAGACCTTGTTAAAAAGGAGGAGGTGACCTCTGCAAACTAAGAGATCATTCCTGAATACAGTGAAGGGCTAAGGGTGATTTATGGAGACTTCTGCTCAGGGTCAGGAGCCCTTGTTTACAATGTATTGGTCTGAACTTGACCCAAAAACATTTCACAAAAAAAAGTTACTTCCTAGCGTAAGGAGGCCTGCCAACTACAGAAGTTAAATGGAGGAACTGGGAATGATGGTATTTATCTGTACTATCTAACTTCATAAACACCCTGGGATACCTTTGTTTTTCAACTATAAGTTGTGTTGTAGTAGCCTTTCAAGGGAAAGTTTGTTAAACCTTTCCAACTGAACTTGAATTAATGTTTTTTCCTGTTCTTGTGAAACAAAACCCAGTGCCTTGGAGTTCACATGTATGAATGTCCAGGCTAAGGCTCAAAAAGAGCATGAATTGCACTGCAGGGGAGCTTAAGAGTGGATCTACTTGTATGTAGGCAGAGAAAACCAGAATGATGGAAGTAGCCTGAAAAGTGATCAAGGGGAGTATAGGAGAACACATCAAAGGTACTAAGGCATAAACAAGACAGCCTGGCTTGCAAGTAGATGGGGAGAGTGTTTATGGTGACATGTAAAAGCATGCAGGGGAACAGCATGGCACTATTGAAGAAAAGGCCTGGAGTGACAGGAGGAATTTGGCTGCTGTGAACAGGGAGAAGGGGTGGGTGCCGAGGCTGGTCACTCCTGGGGACAGGGGTGTTCTCCCCAGAATGGGACAACATCTGCAGGAGAGTGAAATGATGGTGTTTCGGCGCTCCTACCGTGATAAAAATTACTTACTGGGGAGACAGAATGAAAGCAGACCTGAAAAAAAACCCAACTGCAGTTACGATATCCTAGAAGTCTTGCTGTTACGTGAAAGATAGTGAAGGGGAAGCAAAAATACTTCATTTAGAGTTCTGTTTAACAAATTTGTACTTTTCAGTCATCATCCTATAGTTCCTTCGCATCTCCTTACTGTGCTACGTGGATTGTTAGAGTGTAAAAGCACTTAAGGACCTTTGAGAGTGGAGGTGTAAGCGTATCACATTGCACAAGACGTAGCCAGAAAGAAAAAGACTTGCTGGATGTTCTGACTTATATTTTTAAGTAATTTGCTATTCTTATTTTTGGAGGACCTCTCCCTGTTCTGTTGTTTTCCTCGTTTTGGCAGTGGTGTGGGCTGCGTCCCTGAAAATAATTTATAAGTAGCCAGCCTAGCCCTTAGCTTTCAGGATTTACTGAAAGTTAGAAAGAGGGAATTCATGAAGACCTGGAATGAGCTTTAAAATATCACAAAAGCTGTTGTGCTTCTTTTTCAGTTTTAGAGGAGATGTTTCAAATGTTAAAAAATATATATATACTTGTAAATGCTTATTGGCAACTTGTTAATTCAAAGAGTATTTACATTTGTGTATAACGATATTTGTAGCCAGCAGGTCTTGGAGAAATCTTGATTTGAATAGATCAGAATATCACAGAATTCTAAGAATTTATGCTTTTATTAAGGGACTTCTCTATTTAATATTTTCAGTTAATGGAGAAAATACAATTCAGCGTATTTTTTATTCAAAGCTGAAGACAGAAAATGTACTACCCTGGAGAATATATTAAAAATATATTGTTATAAAAGTGAATACTTTGACTACACTATTGTATTTGAACACACTAGTGCTAAACCACCAAGAGTATCTCAGCTATTGGTGAGGATGTAAGTTTGCTTCTCAAGGCAGTGCCACCTTGAGCCCTGGCAGCCCCTTCCTCTTCCCCACCTAGTTTCAGCTCTCATATCCCGTGTGTGCCACCCTCTCCATTGTCAAAAAGCACATATTTATGTAGCTTCACAATGAACTGAATCAAACAACGGGCTGCTTTTTATTCCCTGTGGGGCTATTTTTTGGCTGGACCAGTTCCCTGCTGTGTTTCCCTCTCCGGCTCCATGTCAGATCTTGTGCTAGCACAATAGAAGGGGTGGCACGAGGGGAGAAATGAGTGGCTGGGAAGGGGGCTCGTTTTCTTAAACGAGCTGTGCCAGAACTCAAAGCATATCCCGAGCTTAACTCGGTCTCTGTCTCCCCCAAGCATCCTCATGGAAGCTGAACTCTTACATTCATCTCCTATTTCCTGATAAGGAAAAAAGGCAGCCCAGCTTCTTACATACAAATGAGACACATCTATGCTATCTGCCCTCTTTATGAGAACTGGAAACCTTCCTGCATTTGGCTCACCCCTCAAATATGCTCTGGAGCTTTCTTAGCCTTTCTTGAAACAGAGTACGTAGCGCTCCCCGCCACTGAGTTCGTGTGGTTGGCCTGGCCCGAGGCCAGGAACGAGCTGGGCCCCTTGGCCGGCCGAACACCAGGAATGGCTCCCACCTTCCTCTGGTCTTTGTGCCCTCCAGCTGTGGGCCCAGGTGCAGCTGTGCTGCCCACATGCTTGGCCCACGTGCACATCTGGGCCCCCGCTCTCCTGCTGCCCTGTGCCCCTCGCTGCACACAACGTGCCCTTTTCTGGGTGTCGTGGTAAGGGGAGACAGTCATCTCATTTTTTGGTCTAATATTGAAAGCTTGGGATAATTCCTTGCTTAAGTTAAGGAGATGCTGGCAGTATCTGTTACTATCCCCGTGTGCCTGCTTCTGACTTTTAAGTGCTTCCTAATCTGAAAGGGTTAAAAATCGAATATTCTGACTTCCCTAATTCTCAGTTGGCTTGATGCTTGTCACAGACTTAAAGACCTGCAAGATGAAGCATGACTAATTTGACTTCATAAACTCTGCTGAAGGCGAGAAATTAGGAACATGTTTTTAAAAGCTGACATTTCTGTAGTTCTCGGCTATAAACCAGGTTTCTGTGTTTTCTTCCAACTTCCAAAAAACTCCTAAAATATTGCTGTGCAGTGTATTCTTGAGACGTGTTAGTAGGCTGAGATTTTGAAAGGGGAAGATGCCAAAAAACAGGACATACTTTATAAATTAAGTGTCTTCTGCCACTTTTACAGTCACTTCTACAATTTTGGAATTAATTGTGATTTTATTTTATTTTTTCATGCAGAAAGACAAATCTTAATTTGTTACAGGGCAACAGAACTCATCACTCAGGAGTCAGTTCATCATGACTATAAATATTCAGCCCTGAAACAAACAGCCCATGTTCCTTTTCATGTATTTGAATGACCAGTGCCAACTTTACAAGAGAAATGCTATCGGATCTTTCTTCGGGTCATTTTTGCCCTCAAATGTCTTGTAGGTGGTTTTTTTTTTATTTAAGTCATAGGAAAACAACATTGTGCATCATGCTTTTACAGAAACTGTTTTCAGTAGTTTGTGCACATTCCCTATATAAAAGTAGTTGAAAATATGTTTTTAAAGTTTCATATTAATGTTTTAAGGGAACATAAC